CATGCAAGATTCAGTTTTCAGGATCTCCATATTCTGGCTGGCTTCTTTGCTTTTCTGATCTTCAGCTTGAATTCCAGTATCTGTCTCCGGGTTTTTTATTATTTGTGATACACACTGCCTTCTCTTTACTAACCCCTCAGCCCTGCATCATGATCTCGTAGGGGAGGAACACATCCCATAGACGGGCCCGGCAGTCTCTGTTCTGTCACCTTTGCCTCCCCAAATCCCTCAGCATATAAATGTGCGAGGTGACATGGACATGATAAGGCAGGAAAGAGAATCTCTTTTGATAGAGGTTCTGGAGATGAGGACTTTGATAGATGCCTCTCTGCAAATTCCCAGCAGTGTGGATCCTGCTGACAGCTGTTCTACCACCTTGGAATGAAGTCTGGTCTTGTTTGCTACCATATCTCACTACTCTATTGAGAAGACCCGGAGGGTGCACAGAAGAGATTTGATGAGCAAGGGAAGGAGTGAAAATAGAACGCACTGATGTGTTTTCTGCAGTTGCCTTCAAATGCCTGTCTTTGGGTCAGTCAGGAAACATCAGCATCTGTATTGTGTTTTGCACTTATCCAGCGTCAGCAACATCACAGTGCTGCTGGGCTCCCAGCTGCTGCCAAGGGAATTGTTTCCTGGAAAGTCCCCAAGGCCTTTTCTGCACCAAGACATCACCCTCTTTCATCCAGTTTGTTTGTTTGTTTGTTTGTTTGTTTTTGTTTTTGTTTTTCTTGGTTTGGGGGGGTGTTCTTTGGAAGGGAAAAGTAACAAGACAGCCACAGATACAAACAACTCTATTTTAACTGAACAGAGTAATGGCTGTGGTTCTTTGAAAGGCAAAGAGGTCTGTGCACCTGTGCCGTGTGTCCTGTGTCCAGGGTGGAAAGAAGCTTCCGGGGCACAGTCAAGGCCACTGTGGTGCTGTCACCAAATTTAACTTTCACTCACTACTTACATGTCTTGGGCAACTGCCCAGTGCCAAAGGGACCAGCAAAGTGCTGTCTCCAAGGTATGAGGTTCAAAACTGTCATGTGCCAGTGTAGAAAGGGTCAGGCATAGCACACTGCATGGAGGGCCAGGCTGGCCATAGACGCTGTAGATCCCAGGAAAGCCTCTCATGGCATCCCTAAGGCCAAGCAGAATGGATGCATTGTGGGCACTTTGACTCCGTTTTCTTTGGAAAACAACCTTAGACTATTTCCTGTCTCGGAAGCAGCACCTGCCTTGTGACTGGCTACCCATGTGTGGCAGGGTGATGATCTGACTCTGTGCTTTGCTGAGTCTCCTCTCTGCCCAGTCTGGCATATTTCTATGGCTTTGTAATCTCTCCAGTCTACCCAGGCTCCCTCTCTGCCTCTAGAGCATCATCAAATCATGGTCTGAATCGATAGACAGATTTTTCAGTGTGAAGAGGGATGAATGACATGCCTAACCAAAAAAGAAAAAAAGTCATAGATGACGATGTTAGTCTCTGAATTCACCATCTGATGCCTTTTTAAATGTTTCCCTGAAAGCCATTATCATCCTCTCCTCTTTAGGTTAAGATGTGTCCACTTATGCGGAAGTACACTTTGCCAACTCTGATCTTTGGGTACCTTTCCATCAATAGGCACATCCCCACACACTCCCTCTCTGCCAGGTGTCTTGGAAAGCTTGGCAGGTAAGTGAGTAAGGTGTGTTTCTATGAGTCTGAAGGTAACTGGAGTGAATGATGTAAACAGCCCTTTACAGAGAACCCTCTGTAGAAAGGTGGGTAGTTGCTGTGGATCCTCTTTGACCCAAGCTCTGTTTGCTTGTTTTTTTGTCTTTCGAGACAGGGTTTCTCTGTGTAGCTGTAGCTGTCCTGGCACTCGCTCTGTAGATGAGGCTGGTCTTGAATTCATAGAGATCCACCTGCCTCTCCCTCCTGGGTGCTGGGATTAAAGGTGTGCGCCACTAAGACCGGCACCCCAAAGCTCTTAATGTGGGTGAACAGAAAGATGATCATGGAGTGGAACAAAAATGGCTGCCAGTAGCTAACATGCCCCAGCTAGGCCTTATCCTCAGGATGATATTCTTTTTTATGAATTGAAGTTTAATGCATGTGGCAGTATTGGTAAAGCATTTGGGCTTTTTAGAAAGTCATTAATCAGCTTAGGCATATTTGTGCCAATTGTTCACAGGTGTTTACACTCTTGTTTCCATGCCCTGGGACAGGCCAGTGTTACAGTGTGGCCTTTGACCTTTGCCTCTGTCGAGATTCACGGACCACAGCTTGGCAATTCTGTTTAGTCAAGCAAATGTTTCTAATGTTTAATGAACTCACCTAGCAGAAACTTGATTTCAAAGACACAGAGACCAGTAAAAAGTGGTCTGAGATTATACTGAATATTAATTATGTTGTGCATGCATGTAAGCATGTTTGACCTGCTTAAAATGGAATGCCAAGGATTTACTAAAAAAATCAAATACACATTATTAGACATATTTATACACACCGAATTGTTTTAAACCAGTGATGCTGAGATAAAGACAAAATAATAGTGTGTATACTATTAATAGTGTAACACCATAACTTTCATTAGAAAAAGTCTCAAGCCTTCACTAACTAACCAAACTGAGTGGCACCCTGTGAGGCGTGCCGGATGTGAGGTGGAGCAGGAAGGGTAAGCCATTGGAGGGAGAATGGCAGGCATACTGGCAGATGGGAGTGGCTATTCAGGTGCAGGTCACCCTATAGTGACAAAATGCATCCAAAGAGCGTGGGGACAGACTGCGTTGCTCACGTTTCTGGGTGTGCTGTTGTTGCCTCTTCAACCTGAAGTCTATATATTTACTCTGGATTGAGCTGAACGAACAAGCGTACAAGTTCAGTGTGCCCTGGACTCGGGGTAACTCCACTCCAGATCTGGCCGTTTCACCCACAGATGAACTCTGCCTAGGCCCAGTAAAGTATGGTTTCTTTTATAATTCCTTAGCCATTGCACGCTGCTGAAGGGTAACAGCTGTGTGGGAATACTGGGAAATGGGCAGGTACATCCTGGTCCCTGGCAAAGGCAGGCATGGACCCTCAGCTCTTCTAGGAGAGTGGAGACAGATTTCAGCCCAGGCCTGCCACAGAGGCTGCAATGCTCAACACTTCCGATGATAGAACTGGATACAGGCCTGGAGAGCAGCCATGAACACAGAGAATGTACCAGAACTTCTGGCATGCACCTGGGGCCTAGTGCTCTGGAGTGCCTAGAGAAGCAGGCAAACACTCAGATGTCGGCCGACCAGTGGTAGTGATGGATTTTAGGATCTGAAGATAGCATATGTTAATATCTTGGAATGAATACTGGGTTCACCATTCTGTCACTGACTGGGTTGTCCTAGCCCCAGCTCTATCCTTCGGAGCCTCTGGGGAAACAAAGGCACTTTTATGCTCCCTAAGTCTTGCTCATAGAGATGCCTCAATTTTGGCTTAACCTCTCTGATTTTCAGATAATTTAGGTGTCACAGATATCCAGGGTAAGATAGTTTTCAGACACTATAATTAGAATGTCTCTGAAATGTAATAAATAGAGCTTCATCTGGGTTTTAGGGATAATGTTTTCTTTCCAAACAGCTGTTTGTTTGCATTAACAATTTGCGCCGTCTCAAGAAGACAGGCAGCATTTCCTGTTCTATAAAATGCCACCCTCATTTCCATCCTTTAGTTGTGTGCGTCTACTATTGTGGTATTGTGTTACCAGTCCTCGTTTAGCGTTCAGACACTCAGCCTGATCCCCAGGGGTCTGCAGAAGAAAAGACCATCTTGCTTGACACTGTCCAGTGTGGTGTCCATAGCTTTGTGTCTTTCCCAGGGCTGGCTCCTTCACTGCCCTTGCAGTTTGTCTGAGACCCTTTGGGTAAGGATGTAAGCATGAGCTCTTTGTTGCCCCATCTCTCACTGGCAGAGCAAACAATTATAGTTGCATTTAGTGGTCCAGTTCGCACCAAAAGAGGGTGGCGAATGAGCTGGAGGTAAGCAGCATGTACTCTCTCCATATCTAACGAGTATAGTTTCCTACTGACCTTGTGAGAGAGATGGAAGTGTTATGATTCTCTGTCACTTTGAGGAAATCCAGGCAGAGAGAGGCCACTGCAGGCCACAAGTCCCATGCCTGTGAACTGGCCTCATACACTTCTCTATTTCACGACTCTAAGATTCCCAAGGAAGAATAGGAAAGAGTACAAGGTCTAAGCCAGGAATGGTGGAGTACACCTTTAGTCCCAGCACTTGGGATTCAGAGGCAGGTGGGTCTCTCTGAGTTTGGGGCCACCCTGGTTTACATAGCAAGTTCCTGACTAGTCAGGACTATATAGACCCTGTCTTGCAGGAAAAAAAAAAAAAAAAAAAAAAAAAGTCATCTATGCTGTTACTTGTAGCAAGATATTCCGTGTAGCCTACACTTCATCTGAAAGAATGACCAAGGCACAGAAATGTTCAGTCCCTGGCTTATAGTAAGTGCTCACTAAACAATACCTGTATGTCAGGACTATAGCCAAGGACACAGGCAGCATAGGAAATCACTCCTCAGAGTTACACCCAGAGTAGACAGGCTGGGTCAGGAGAGCACTCTCACTTCCAGTGGGGAGGAGGTTCACCCTGTCCACACCATTAGCAACACTGGAATGGAAAGCTCTTTGGATCTCCTGGGACAAGCAGACAAATCATTTGAAATTTGCCCCTCTGAGAACAGAGTAAGACCCTCTACTGAACAGGCACCGTGCTGGTGTCCACCATGAGAGATAGCATGCCCCTTCATAAAGTTGTCTACAAGAACATTCCAGAGAGACCTACAGGATTTTGCCCTTTAAATTTGAATCCTGTGGTGTACACTTTGTACTTAGACAACACTAGGCTTCATTGAATCTCTGCCCAGAGTCTCCAGGGTCCAGGTATTCCTGGAGTAAACACCAGGGACCTGGCAGCAGACCCCAGAGTTATGGGTGCTAGCAGGCATTTACATTTGTTTCCACTTGTATTTGACTTTTAGTTAGATTGACATCCACAGTGTAATCTGGACCCTGGAAGATACAGTCCTGGAGGGGAAAACCAAGAGAAGCGTGGCCAACAGACACAGAAGACACAGGAAAGGTCGAGAACACACACCTGGGACAGCTTCCTGCCTCCTTCCATCAGAAACAGGAGGCGAGTTTGGAAGAGAAGAGCAGTGGCTTTATTTGGAGAGAGCTGTCTGGTGGAGCACATATGTGCACCATAAATCCAGATCTCACTGTCGCTTCACATTTTTCATGTCAGCATCTGATCATCAACTTCCCAACGTTCCAGCATCCCTTGCAAATAATTTCGTTTCGGAAACTTTCTATCGAGAGCTAATTTTTAGCGAAAGGCTCATGGAAAGAAACCTCTGACAATTATAGCAGCATTAAACCAGGTTCCAGATATGTGATGACGGCTTTGCTGGTGTGTGCTTGTATGTATAATGCATTCAAGTACATAGGCCATGTCCTGCTAGCTTATAAAGAATTCTGCCTTAATCCTTAACTACGGTGTGAACAGCATCTAGCACACATGTTAAATGAACATATTCAAACATGGGTGCTTGACCCTATAGCTCTCTAGAATTAGGGAGCACACATGGATGTTTGGTAAAGATGTTGTTTTTTGTTTGGTTGGTTTGGGTGTTTTTGGTTTTTGTTGTCTTTGGTGTTTTGTACTAGGAAATTTTCTTGTCAAATGCTTTAAGTTTCATCAGATGACCATGTGGCAGATGTGTGCAGACACCAGAGCCAGGATTTTTCAAGAAATTTGCCATTTTATCCTATCTTTACCTTGTTATTTTCATTATTAGCATTGCGGGCTTAAGAGATAGACCTAGGCCAACCTTCAGCACGTGCTTCATCAGCAGGAACCAAGACATCGACAGTGTCTCTTAGCCTCCTAAAATGAGCATGATGTTGGCATTGGTGATCTGTAATGTTAAGACTGAAACTGGTTTTGCATAGGGAAGGGTTCAGTACACAGCTGAGCACTGTGGCCCACAACTGTAGCCCTGGTTAGTTGGAAGGCCGAAGCAGGAGGATTGCTTGAACCCAGGAACAACATAGACCCTGTTGGGAAAAGAAAAGAAGAATAAAGAGAAACAGAGAGTCTCATACTGTTGATGATCTTGTCTTTGTTATTGAATTTCATTTGCCTCATTCATTAGATGAAGAGACACCCCCTACACTGCAGAGCTGTTTTCAGTTGAATGAGCTAATGCATGTAGAAAAAACTTTGTATGTGCGCCACAGCAGGCCATTAAAATAGCAACTGCAGTAATGGTGGAGTCCCTTATTCAGGGTCCACAAGGTGCCAGGAACTTTATGTTCTGTCTTTAACACTTCCAAAAGGCCTGGCAGGGGGGGGGGGGGGGTAAGCATTATTTTAAATTGTATCAAGAAACAGCCCTCCAAGGATTTGCTTAGGGTCATGCTCACACACACATTTCAATTGAGATCTGTTTTATTTTAACTGCAAACGTCTCTTTCTACATGCCCCAGTCTCCATGATTAGATTCCTGAAGTTTGTGTTCCTTGTGTCCGATAGAACTTAGCTCTTATCATCCAGTTCAGGCTGGGACATTTTCTTTGAGTAGCACCTCATTCACTGCAAGAATCTTATATTAAGAAATATAATTTTGATGAGATGCACTTAAGCTACATTTATTCACAGAGTTGAACATCAACTTACTAGAAGCCACAGGTCTAAAAGCCCAGCCCTACAGCACAAAGGCAATTCTAAAGACGGAACACATCAGCAATGCCCTGTTCTCAAAGTGGCCGGGCCTGCTGTCTGAACGGGCTGACTTTCTATCATTTTACCCGGTGCTGCTTAAGTCATTCCTCGTGTTTTTGCATTTCAGTTACATGAATTTTCATTCATGTTGTAGAGTATAAGTAATGAATTTACAATTCGATACCCCCTGCCTGCATACTGATGATAGCTAGCTAGCTTTATTGCTCATTGGCTCACAGTGTTGGACCCCAGCCTGGAGATGATGGATCTGTGTAGCAACTACTTCACCTGCATAATGAGACCTAGTCTCCCTTGCTGAGACCTGCCGTGGGCCTTGAGTCTGGTGTCTTCTTCCCTACAGAAGATTGCTAAAGGTTCCTTGTGGATGTTGTTTCCCTTCCCTCCTTTAAAGATGTCTCCTCATCTGTCTGTCATGGCCTCTGGGCCAGGAAAGAAATGCTTCAGACAGGCTGCCTCTTCCCGTCCACTGTTTTTTCTCTGCCTGGCCCCACCAGGATAGTCGCTTCATTTCTGCCTGTGTTACATCCCCACAAACGTGAGGAATTGTTTGTGGTTGGCCAACAAGAAGGTCCAAAGCAATTTACAAGGAGGTCAGATACTTAGCTTGCCCTTCATGTGGAGGTTAGTACCATCAATGGGGCATCCCCATCTGCTGAGTGCCAGGTACCCCAAAACAGAGGCAGTTCCTGTACCCTTCGTTTCCACTCTTCAGGCCTTTGTTCCTGAAGCCATCATCATGGCCTTTGTCACTCACAGATCTACAATATTTTCCCGGGCAGAAGAAATCTGTCAGTTTCCCTTATGTCTCTCTGACCGTGAGTTTGATAGACTATTTTCTTACCCACCCCTACCCCAAACTGTTCCACGTTCCAGAGCCAGGTTTCAGTCATCAGATAGTTGAATAAACTGTCTCACTGGGGGCCAGATTCCAAGGAGACAGCCCATGGCCTCACAGGCCAGGAGAGCCAGGATGTCAACAGTGTCAACAGTCTCTGCTCATCACACCAAAGGCCCCTTGTGGAGCGGCCTCATTAGCATACAGCCGCTCTGCTAGCTAACAAAGCCAGCTCGGGTATCTGCTCCTCTCTCCGTGTCTGTCTTCCTTGACCCAAAAGAAACTACTCAGGCAAGGGTGGAGGCTCTCTCTGGTAGAAGACAGCTCCCAGGAGAGCACTCCGAAGTGGCTTTAAAATAATCAACTTTTTGGAAAGTAAGACTCCTTTATTTTTCAAATCTTGTTTTTAAATCATCAATAGCCCCCCACCCCCCACCCCCCCAAAAAAACCCTGTCACGCCCCGCAGCTAAAAATGGTGGCGTCTCAAGTAATTCCTAGTTATCCCTTAAAAGCCATGTTGTGTCAGAGCCCTAAGTGGAGCCTCCAGCCAGCCTGGCTCGCTGAGCCTTCCTCTCGGGCTGCCTTGCTAACCCTCTTTTGTTGGGGGATGGAGGCAAGGAGGAAGGCAGATGTGCCGCTAGTGCTACAGGCTTCTGCCAACCATATGGCATCTTAAAGAAAGATGGTTGGAGCGTCTGGATTAGCAAAGAGTCGGCATGGGAAGCCATGTGTCGCGTTGGTACAGGCAGTTGTTTGAGCTCTCTCTAAATGGCTTCAGGAGATTGTGTAATGGAACAAATGGTGCTGAGCGCGGGGAGGGGGGGAGGGCAGAGGGGGACAGCCTTGCCACTGCTGGAGAGGCACCTGGCCCTGGGGCGGGGGTGGCCTC